GAGTATGCACATGCAAAAGTTATAACAATTAAGGTATATTATTTGTACATTGCCTTTGCTCATAGTGATTCTTATTTGTCTTCTCATAGGAAATACAAGATATTGATCAAATATCTAAAGAATTATCATCCTTTACTGATGAGTTTATTGGGAGTTTGAAGCAGCCAAATGATTTTTTTGATATTATTGAAAAAAAGTATCGCCTGTACTATGACTGTATTATGAAATTTTTAGCTTTTGACGAAGTACTGATTTATAATGAAATGATATTAATTTACTGTTAATACAAACAGGTACTTAAAATTGAAATTGAAGTTGAATTCAAAAAATTAAATGGATCAATCACAAGGCAGTTAGAAGCTTTTAGAAAACATGCTCATACGAAAACTATTTGTATGCTGAATCAAGGGGCATTTACATCTGTAAAATCATCATGTGACTCATTAAGGCCCAATATGCAGAAAAGGCTAGGGGCACTAGAGAAAAGAGCTGAGGTATTTGTTTTTTTAAACACATTGCACATCAGTGCAGTTTCATATGTTGCATGCATGAGCCATTGAATTTTAATGGAGGCTTGATGTAAAGTATAGATTTATAACTTAGACAAAGATCTATAGTACTTCCTCTACCTCAGATACTTTGAATTGACATCACTATTGGGCCTTCCTTTGGAAACCTCAATTCAAAGTATCCTTAGTCGGTATTCATCAGATATATAATGCACATGTTTGCAAATATTTGCAAACATGTATTTTAGTGGTTTTTTAAATAGACACTAATTCAAAGAGCAGTCATGAGGCCTCCAATAGCAACAGAGGATAAAGTAGAACAAGATTATCTCAATTGTGTGATAAAAGTTGTACAAGTATTTTGGGTAAGTTCTAAGTTGTATACATTATTCAATAATTGCATGCATGATTTGGACTTACTGAAAAATAAATGCAGCTTTGGCTTCTTTTGCATGAAATAATTAAGCCAAAAGGATTAATAGCTATGCTTTGTTTAGAATCTTGAACAAAGCATTAGTTTAGCTTTTGATGCTGACAATTTTAGTGGATACTTAGCAAAAATTACTGAAGCAATCAGTGATGCTGAAACATTGACAAATGGGACATTGCAGGTATTTTGCAACAAAATATGATTATGTATATTATAGTTTCTTGTTTTAAAGTGTCTTCATTTTTATCAATTCAGTGTTTTTTCTAAAGATACTAATCTGATTGATTTTTATTCATTAGTGTCATGGATTGCAAGCGATCAATACGTTGAAATGAAGGTATTTTTGCCCATCATTATTATATATATATACCCAGCTTACTGCCTGTATAAGCAACATTTTAATTCACACTGTATACTGTATTATATTAAGAAAATTGAAATAATGATTATTAATTAAACTTACAAAAATAATTCATCAACAAAAAATAACTTTTCCTTGAAAATAATACAGCATAGGCTAATGCTACATCTAATAAATCAATATTTTTTATTTAATAATTATACAGGATGATATAATTGATCGATTTTTATTATATACTAATAAAGTTTCTGTATATTTATCTAAAGATGCATGGGACAAAGTATGATTATTTGCTTTTTGTACTTTATTTTACTTGATAAAATTTAATAGACTTGTATTATGAAAAATACCATTCAAAGGTCAAGAAGATTAACTGATGTCAAAAAAGCTGCAGCAGAGCTCATTAATACCTTAGCATTATCTGTTACCAAATCATGTGTTCTTCCAGATTTTTATGGGGTATATAATGTGCATTGTGCATACATGTATTATTGCTTGTAATTTTATAGAAACTCCGTCAAATTCTTGACTTCTTTCAAGAATTTGTGAAAAATTGTAACAGATATTGGTTTGATGGTGGTCATTCACCTAAATTTTTAATCAAACTGTTTAAAGATTTTACAGCTACGTTAGAGTAAGCTCTATACTATGCCGATGTCCATTTCATAAATCCTATGTATGATTATAGGTCAGAATTTTATGATGTCCAACTGAATAATTTTAGAAGAAAATTAAATGAAACCAAAATGCAGCTGGTTAATCCTGATCAAGATCTCCTTGCTACATTTGATTATTCCCAGAAGTGTCTAGACAGCCTCGCCTTTTTCAAACAGATAGACACATCATATCAATCTATAAGTGAGCTTTATGACAAAGTAAGCTACATGTGGTTTAATTTATCAGATTGGATGGTGTTATGTATCTTTTAGATGAATAAATATGAAGAAGCATCAACAACAGCCCTCACTTATTTATTAACTTTTTCTTATTTTGTGGATGATGTTGATAGTTTAAAAGGGCAGATAGCTCAATTTAAGCAATCCTTGATGCTAGATTTATATGGTAGTTTTAGTAGGGAAAATTTGCAAGCTGTAATGACACAGGTGAATACATTGATAGAAGAAATACAAGATGTTGCTAGCTCATTGTTTGGTAAGCATCTCAATAAATATTAATAATAAAATATTAATAATAAATTTATGTTTTATTTATTACACAGATAAAGGAGATATGGTATGTAACTTAATTGTTTGTATAAATTACATTTAGAGAATTATAGTGCTCTCCTGAACTAAGAGACCTAATAAAGCCGCAAGGGTGAGAAAAATTTTAATTTAATTTTCTAGCAGCTGTCTTTAGAGATGATTTATCAAGTACACATATCACTTTTAACTTTGAAGTGATAGTAAAGAAAGAGGATTGGAAACTTGAAGAAAATGCCAAATTTTACATTGCCATGGTATTTCATATTCCACCACATGGTAAACGTATCTTGAAATTAGAATTTTGTCCTTCAAAGTTAGTTCATTTATTTTGTTTCACATCATTGCATTATTGATAAAATATATAGTATCCAACCAGAGTATTCAGTAATGTCATGTGGAGTTGCTGTCAATCGGAGCCTTCATAAGTTGTACTATAAGTACCTGTTATTCCCTTATTACAAGACACCAGTAGAACTAATGTTCATTAAGAAGCCACAATATGAAGAAGCTTCTTCCTGTTACAGAGTATTGAACATATCTATAAATACAGATATCAAGGAAAAGGATGTTTTTGATAGTTGTATTTATCCCCAGATACCTAATAAGGAGCAAGGAATGATCAGCAAATTCTTGCATGGGGCATCCTTAGAGTTACCGCCTGCTATTTATAATAATTTAGACTTCTGTGCTGATGTTCATTTACAAAAAGAATACGATAGTATTGAGAAATGTGAAATTACAGATGCTGTTGAAGTCTGCAAAAAGATTCTATCTGTGCATCATTGCTTATCTAAAGCTATCAAAGCTAACATTAAATCTACTAATTATAAAGAAATGCCTTTTTACAATTCAAATGCTTCAGAGGTATATATTATAGCCAATCATCAATTGCTATTATTATTTACGTGCAGGTAATTCGAAATCAATTGGAATGCTTATTAGCCAATGTTGAAGAACGTGATCATCCTTTGAAGATTTTGTCTGGGATAGTATTATGTCGATGTCTGATGGAAATATCTCAAAATAGACTGACATCGAAAATAATTACTAGGCTGCTCTCAACAATGGCAGTAAAGTATGATGAAGCTAAATCTTGCTACTTGGAGTTTGACATTGTTAAAAGTGCAGTAAATATTTCAAAGTAATCTTTAATTATAATTCATTTTTATTGTTATTTCTTTTATTGAAACAGATTCTTCACTGAATTTTTGCAAGAATGCATATTAAAAGCTCAGTCACAAAGCTTTGCATGTGTACTGAAAGTATTGCCTCTTTATTATTGGTTTTGTCAAGAATTCAACAGTTGTTCTTTCTTTCAACTTGATTATGATGTTGACTCACTTTCTCAAATGATAGAAGGAAGTGATGATAAACGAATATTTCATTTTTCAATAAAGAGCAGGTATTATTATTGACACAAAATTTCATATAAACAATTAGGCATGGATAAGTAACATATTTTAATCTTTATATTTATAGTGACTTTATTGATGCAATTACTCATTTGGAGCCAGTTCAAATTCAAAAAGATCCCCTGCTTCAAATTCAGTTGGTCAAAGCGTCATCTGAACTTGGGCATTACAGTTTTTTAATCAAGTTTGTAGCTTTTCAAATTATACTTGTTGATCTTGGGGTGAAGCTAAAGAGTAAAGAATATAGATATCAAGTAAATTCATTCTTTTTTATTCAAGTCATTTTTATTCTTATTTTGCTTCCTTTAATGAGTGTCAGTAGCTATTAAACTTGCTAGCAGCTTTCAAAATAATTTTATGCATGATTTTACAATTGATGTAGTTCTACTGTTCAATCAGGTTTTTTGTATTGCATTTGGTAAATTTAATACTAACAACACTAATAATATTGATAAAATTTATGATATATAAACTTTAACAAATTATTTTATTGTAAAAAGGCAAAGGTTAAAGAAATCACAGCAGTATTATCTATGTTATGGGACACAAAAGACAATCTTAAGTAAGTTACAATTTCTACTACTTTTTGGCTCCTGATCACAAATTTACTAAGCTGTTGTACAGTTAATAATGTTAAAATTTATAGATTATGTTTTGTATGTCTATAGTACTGTAGATTTAATACCATATTACAATTATTTAGCTTTCATTCAAAACTGTTGGAATGCTTGCGATTTCTTTTGAACTCATTGGATTCAATTGCAACGACACTTTATGCCCTAGGACAAAAAGGAAAAAATGCTGTTGCAATATCACTAAAGTTTGTATTGCTTGCAATGGATGGTTTGGATGATAGTCAAAAGAAAGAACAACTTCAGCATGTTGTTCCATTTATTAAAAACTGGGTTATTGTCAATATTGGGGAAAAATTTGCATCTGAACATGAAAGAGGTGTTCAAAGAGAGTACCAGGTATGTAATGTAATATTACAAATACAATTTTGATTTACATGTAGTTTTGGGCTGAAATGTATTCCATTGATGATAACAATAGTTTAGAATGGAAAAAAATTATTCAAAATATGGTATTTGCACGTTTTGAGAAAGTATGTAATCTTAATTAATTAGTAATATTATGACTTCAATTTACAGATAAAGTCTTTTGAATTAATGGTAGCATTATTTGACAAGCTAACTTCTCTAACAACTGATCATGACATTATTGATGTTACACGAAACTGCTTAGTGAGGAATATTAATTTAGCTAAAGACAAGGTAAGGATGCATGTACATTTGACATTTGTTGTATCTTTGATTGTTTTTAGGATCTTCAACTTGTTGCTAAAGGATCAGTAAAAACACAGAGTATATTGACTCATCTTATTGAAATGAAGTTTCCTTCCTTGCCAACTGATATTAAGACTCTTCTTGAATGGGATATGTGGCCTATTATATTGGAAGTGTTAAGTAAGCATTATATAAAGTGGCATAAAATGCTTATTCAATGTCATAGACAACATACCATCTGATGAGCCTCAAAGAGTATGTAAACATGTGACAAATATTCTAGAAGGCTTGTGTAGTGATATGAAATCAGGAAATATAACTGTTGAGATGTTATTATATCTGAAAATAAAATGGGATACACAGCTTATTCAAATGATGTCTACTTTGTCTATAGATCAACATAAATTTGCTAGTGATATGCGATTTGCAAACAAAAGAGTTCGTATGTTTGAGATATTTTTGATTCTTTTACAAGGATTTATAACTTCACTTTCTATAGGTATGCATAGTTTATAGTTTTATACTGTCATATACTTTTTATAGACTTTTCTAGCTTGCTCGCTAAAGTTAATGATCTGTTAAAAAATCATCAAGGACATCTTGTAAACTCTCTTTGCAACTATGATGATGATGGAGAATGGGATTTCCCGTTGTTTCCCGAAGCTAAAGTGATCACACCAATGCTGGTCCAGTTTACAATCATGAATTTAGAGGAATTTAGGAATGATATATTTTATTATAAGTTGCAGGAACTGACAAATTGTATAACACAGGAATCATCATTAGAAGATGTGTATCAGCTCTTTTGGGTACCCCTATTTGACCATTGCTGTACAGTTGCAGATGAATTGAAAAGAGAAACCATTACATTGAGTGACCTTAATGAGCTTTTTCGAAGGACAGATTCTGCTGATTCTGAAAAAGTAATAGAAAGACTTTTATCTGCAGTCGAAAAGTGTCAAGCAGAGTGTGCTAAGGATATTGGCTTGTTAACTGATCTATGCATTGAAAATGATATACATAAGCTAGTATCCCTTATAGAATATCAATCTTTAATAATGGAGTGGGTAACAGAACTTGGAAAGAAAATTACTAACTGGAGCAACATTCAAGCACTTTCCACTGAAGCTGATCTCCTCATGGAAATTTTGGAAGCTTATGATTTAAATCAGTCACTAGTTTATCGCTTTTCAAAACAAGTATATTAAACTAATATTAATTATAATAAAAGTTATGTCTCATTTAATAATAGGGCATTCAAGACTTCCTGCAACAGAAGCTTGAATCTGTCACTGATGATGATAATAAAATTTTATTATTTTTAAAGGAGAGTAGACTTGTAAATCCTAGAATAAAGGAATCCATGAAGGAGTTAGGGAAGTGCAAAGGTTTAAGATTATTTATTAGAAATAAAAGTAAAGGTAAGTCAGTACACTTTAAAATATTATGACTAACAGTTTTAAAGATGTCAGTGAAATGGAAAGATTTATTCAAATTGCGCTTGATATTGTTGCTGGAGAAGGAGCTGAAATGCAAGATCGATTGATTGATTTGTCTGAATTGTGTGGAAAATTTTATCCTTTACTCTATCAACTAGATTCCTCTACATCTCAAAATATTGACACAATTCAAACACTTTTTCAACAAACATGGGACTCATTAAAAACACATCATGACCCACTTACCTTAACGGTATGAACATATTTTGTTACTTATTCTAATTTATAATTCTTGTAGGAATCATGTGTTTCTCGTGTCAAATGGTATCAATTCATTGGACAACTACAAGGAGCTGGAGAACAAGGAACTGTGAAGCAACTACGTGATATCAATGAACATGGAGAGTATACAATATTGACCACTAAAGATGTACAGACATGTACAGTGTCGCTAAAAATCATTTCAGATGATCCTCATGTTTCCAAAAAGTTTTGGTCACTTGACGATTTGCACGAGATTGAAAGTAAGCTTGTTCTAATAACTCGTAAAACATCAAAGTGGGTGGATGCCAAAAATTTATTTCAAGAGGTATGTATTATAGCATAAACAAACTAATAAACAAAAAATTAAAATCATGTTAGCATTTTAAAATTTTGTCTTAAATTTGTAGATGCTCAGTAAAGTTTGCCAAACTTGTGATGTTGTTCAAAAGTTAAAGGAATATGGTCACATGAAATACTTAGAATGGAAGATGACACTTGCTTGTTCTGATTTTGTGAATGATCTAAAAAGCCTGGATAGACAAATAAAAGAGCTTGAGCAAATTCTTAGTAGTTGGATAGGCTATGTTTGGAGATGTAGATATCATTACCCTCAGCTAAATTATTATAAAACCAATCAACTCATTGTTCTAAGGGAAGAACTGACAAAAGTTAATGAAAATGAACACTATGAAATCAGCCTTCAAGTATTTCGCTTCTTAAATAGTACAATTGGGAAACCTTTAGAATCTGGGCTTATTGTTAGAAAGGCACTAAAAGGAGATGTTTTGCCTGATGATGAAAGTGCAAATGCTAAAGAAAAAATTGATACAATAAAAGAATCAGCACCACAACCTGTTCAATCAATAGAAACAAAAAATGAGCCTGAAGAGATTTCAAAAGTTTCTCAATCTCTGGCCAAAGTTCAAAGCGATGATTCTATGAATAAGCTTTATGAAGAATCAGTTCCATTAGGCTATCCAGATTATTTAATTCTTCAAGCACTTCTCAATGAAAGTGTCAATGACATTTTTGATATGATGGAATGGTATGATGAGTTACATGAAGATGATATTGATAGATATCAAAAAGAATGGATGGTAAATGACCCTGAAACTAAAAAAAGCTTGCTTCCTGCAACAGAATCTGCTTCTGATTCCTTGTGTAACTCTTCAGCAGAATGTTTTGATAATATTGATATCAATCATGTGGCAGAGTATTTTTTCAAAAGGATGGAGAACAGTTTATTTGAAAAGTAATATTAAAGCTATAATAATTTTTAGAGTGATATCTATATTTCTAGAACAACAAATGTTGCTGATGAAACTAATTTCATATCGTTAGAAACTTTAGGAAAATGTTTACAAATACTTGCTGCTCGACAAGGTATAATAACTTGTATAAACTTTAATTAATAAATAATATGTCCCATTTAGAATTTCTAAAAGAGAGAGTTTTTATGGAGCCATTTCAAAAAGGGATGCCTAACTTAATTATCACTTCTGCTGGTATTTTATATTACTTTTTATTGTACAAACTTCTTTGCAAACATTAGATAACATATTCATTTGTACTTTACAAATTTATTCTGAGGGTGAAAATAGTGCTTTGCCAACTTTTGATGAAGTTTTTTTATGCTCTGAATCTACTACACTTGAAGAAGTATGCATAAAGCAAAGCATAGGCTAATACTATTTGCTAATAGGTTACAATATTTTGGATGAGGGTACTTAGTAATCAGAGAAACAATCGAATTTACTGTTTACTTCATGGTGAAAAACTACCATACCTTATTGCTGAAGAATCATTAGACCTATTAAAGTATTTGTCCCAAGGAAACAAAGGTAGATTGCAACCAAAATTGATAATATAACTCTTTTATAAACTATCATTTCAGAGTATAAACTTGTGATTATATGTAGCAATGAAGAAGAAGGAAAATCAAATGTCATTTCTCGTCTCTATTCATATAGAAGAGAATGGAATCTTCCAACAGATGAAGTAATGGAACAATTAAGGAAGTTCCTAAAGCAAAATGTAGCTCAAATAACTACAAAAAGCTATATTGCCCATGTTAATGCAACTGATGTTGATATTGAACGGTGAGTACATTTAGTTATTAAATAATGTACATTTTGTTGATGTACAAACAGTTCACATGTGAGAGTTTTTACATCAGAACAAGCAGGAGTTGGAAAATCATTATCAGTCAGAAAATTGAAGGACGAACTCATAAAAGTTTTTAGAGAGAAACGTTTAATTACAGAAAAGGAATCTCAGAAAGCTATAGTTACTCTTCCACTGCATGGACCTGAAGTGACTGCAGATGAAGTTCTCTCAATGCTATTGAAGGAAGACTCAGATCTAAAGTCTTGTATCATTCATATTGATATTCCAATTAGGGTTAGTTTTTTTTCTCTAAACTCTAAGAGTAAAAAGTAATAGTAAATCTCTTAATTTTTGAGTTTATTTGTGTGTACTAAACATAAGCTCTGATTTTGTGACCTTTATTTGAGCCATGTATTCATTTAAAAATTGATAATTTTAAAATCCATGAACTC